TCCCGGGGGGGGGGGGGTGAATAGGTTTTCGGATCGTTGGATTTCACAGAAAAAATTGTTCGGATTTCGGATCTGGCAAATATTTTACACGGATTTGCGGATCTTATTAATGACAGGGGATTGCAGATTTATCTAATATTTTGGCTCGGATTGTGGATTTAGCTTGCAATTTAGTTTGGATCCTGGATTGTGACTTCATAGTAGAGCTTTTAGCGGATTCAAATGTAGACAAGACCATTGTCGGATCGCGGATTTTGCTTCAAATTTGGGCAGATTTGTATACCCATATTTACCCCCCCCCCCTTACCACACCACTCTATACCATGCCATATACCACACCTTACCATACCAACACAATATCACCTCGTTTCTACAATACTCATGGCACCAGTATTTCTGCTCCCCTTGTTTGGAAAATAATCTTAAAACATCATACTTACATGACCAAAATTCCCTTTTCCAATATTTTCCAATATCTAATCAACCAGACAAATTATGTCATTGACTTTTAATTAAAAATTCCCAAACCATGAATTTCACTAAAGTATTATCAAGTAGGAGGTCAACATGGTACTTCATATCAGACTGGCAAAATAATGTTTAAAATTCTTTTCATTATATCTAGTAGTCTGGCAGTCTGTGAAGTTTAATTTACTTGTAATTTACTTTATATTGTCAACCATTCCGCTGTTATGTTTTATTAACACCGTTTAATTAAAACCAAATTGCGGGAAGTTAAGGATTTTTCGAAAACATTAAGGTAGAGAAAATTTGTCAAAACGCGTCGCGAAAACGGATGCATTTAACTTGTAAGGTCACTAATATGCTTACCCAAATATTATTTGTAGCTTATTGACTTTCCCTCAAAATATTGACAAAACAAACTTGCAGAATTGACATAAAAATACTTAATCCTACAAACAAACGTTGTTTTACGCTGAAACTTTAAAACAATTGCGAAAAACATGACAAAATTACAGCTTAGAATTTGGTAATTTCAAATAATATTTCGACAGCATTTTCAATTAGCAAATTTGATAGTATAATTGTTCGAAAGTGTGTATTTAACATATTCTAATTTATAAGGTACAACATTTTCTAGCTTATATTAAATTCATTATGGTTTACCGCACGCGACTTTTTTTATTAAAAAACCGAAGTATATTTTTGTTATCATTATAAAAACCGCGATTTGGTGCTTTTAGCAACCTATTTAGCGCATACCTAATCGATGAATCGTAGAAATTTGATTTGGTTTACTGTACTATAATATAAACACTGGTCGCAATTTCCACGGATTGTGCCGAAACAAAGAAATTTTTACGCTATTGTTAATTGTCAATGTCACATATGTGTGGTATACCTGATATTCGTTAAATTTCACAGCAGATTTGTACTCGTATTCGGGTAGAAACAACGAATCGCTCTGGGGATGAGGCCACGGCGTCTTGTTAGCAGAATCGTACGTCGTACTTCGTCGTTTTTCGGGACTAGTTCTTTTAAACGGCCCCGTTCTGAACGATCTAAATATCCTAGACTCACGGTCTTGCGGTATCACTTCGACCTGAAATCGTACGTGTCTTGACCCGTCTTCATCATCCAAATCTTCATCGTAAAATTTCGCCCTATCTTGCGTGCTGCTATGTTTATTCCCCATTGTAACGCTGTTCTAGCAACACCTTTATATTATTTTTTCCAGTCACGAATTCCTATGCCAGTGTTTTCCTCCCAATAGATCGAAACTGGACCAAAGCTGGTAGTTTATTGCTGTACAATATAGAATCTGCGTTCCCCTAACGTATCTTTAAGCCATCGCCTTTTCTGTATAAAAGAAAGTAATATTCTTTACCGAGTACATGATATGTTAACAATGCAAATATGGTGTTGATATCGGTCCCGCATGCAAAAATGTATATCGGTTTATATAGGCCCAGTTCGCGCCGCAAAGCCGTTCACATTAATTCACATATGTTATACAAATTTACCCACCTATGTACAAATATGAAGTCATCATTTTCCAAACCCGAAGCGTCGACTAAGTTTCTTATCAGATCATTTTCTGTCGCTTTATTTAAAGTGAAAAATTTCACATGTAATTTGATACAGTGTTTTGATCGCCTGTTTCCGTATGTCATATATTTTCATTATTGGTGTCAATTTCAATCGGCGCACCTTCGGGACATGTCCGTTCATTTCCGTGAAAGTGTCATTTAAAGGAAATTTGCGGTTTGTGCTTCCACTTGCTGGTGTTTGTTTTCAAAGGAACCTAATTCTATGAAATAAGGGAAATTTTAAAGAAATTTTTGTTTGGACGAAAAAATGAAATGGTGGCAGATTCGGGGTGGGGGTTTATAATTTCAATTGCACTATGCGGTTTTCTGCAGTTTTTAAATTATACTGGTAATTTTCCCTCTGTTGAATGCGAGAATCAGAATACAGAAAAGCGCTTCCAGGCTGTAGATAATAAATATATTAGTTTCGTTATAGTTTCCTCCTGTAGTATTAACCTTAGGGCCAAGAAGAGATTGCTCTTACTTGTCTTTACTTTATATATCTCTGGTAGGAAGAACAATTTAATTAAAACTGAATAAGCTATCCATCCAAGACAAGTTTATTTACTTTGTTTCTTCCCTTGGGACAAAAACATATAAAAGTAAATTCACAAAATTCTAAGGAAATTTGAACGAATTAGGCGGGGAACTAGGGGAGAAGGGGGAAATATAATTTTAATCAAAAGAAATTTATGTGTGAAAAGTGGAGACACCGCATCCGGGAAGTTCCTTTGGGAAAAAGCAAGATGGACGCTCATTTGGTTGGTTACGGGAGTTCATCGGACGAGGAAGGAAAGCCAAAAAAACGCGAAATAGACGCGCAAAAAGTAGGTTTAAATGAATCGAAGTTTTTAATAACACTGTCTAGTATTTGCTGTAGTTTTTTGGTGAGGTGTGGGTAGTTAACTAGGAAGATATGATGTAAATAATTTGGGACAATTGGACAAAGATGCGCTGTCTTGTGACCAGATATTGAAAGGAAAATTGCGTGGTAAATTTGGCAAGGATGGTACAAGGGGAAGGGCAGTGTTAATAACTAGATCTTTCCGAACTGAGGAAGCGTGGGCACGAAATCTATTTTTGGCAAGAACAAGAACTCAAATTGCCCAGCTTCTTTCTCAGACTCTCATGTATTTGTTTGTTTGGGAGGCTGGGGAGAAGCAATTTGTTCGTTTCAGTATACACGAATCGTGAAATTCGGCAAAAGTTGCAGTTAAAGAAAAACATGTAGCTGTGATTGGATGATTTAAAATGTGCATATTTAAGTATTCAAATTGTTCACTCGTGCATTCATGATTACATATTTAATACTACAATACAACACAAATGCCCAACTCAGAATGCACCATTTGGATGCGCAAATGAATTTTGTGACTCGTGTGTTGGGGCAGACCATTAGAAAAATGTTGGGGGGGGGGGGGTTGTGAGAATACAAAAAAGTCTCAGCAAAGAGGGAAAGCAAAGCAAAATTACCTTTAAATTAACACAAAAAATTCCAGTACATGCAGTCTAAAAGATAAAGGTATTACTGTCGTTCCAAATGAAGTGTTCCTCAAATATTGATTCAATACATTACCTCGGGCTGACCAATTCATTTGATAGAAAATTGATCAACTTCCTGTTACTTTTGAATGAGCCAATTAGATTTCGTTTCAGAACCGATTGACCAATAGGAAACGCACAGGAAGTAAAAAGAAATTTGAATTTGTATGAATTGGTCAGCCCGAGGTAATGTATTGAATCAATATTTGAGGACCACTTCAATTGGAACGACAGTAAGTGTTATATGCACAAAAGCAAGTGTAGGGTGCGTGTAATTTTGTGAAATAAAATTCTTCTGTGCGCATGTAACAAAGTTTCCAGTCTGTTAAAAAGTTCCAATCAAATGCATTGTTTACAAACGGTTTGTGAATATGATTATGAACTTTTGAACTTTGCAACAAACTTTGGAACGAAGTTTGCAACATTTAGGGAAAGTTATGTGAAATCAACTGTAACTGCCTGACCCAGTTACCAATTCTTTCTTTTTTACATATTTAATGTTTTTGTACATATAGGTGAAACCTCTTCCGAGAGAGCGAAATTTTAGAAAACGTTCTCTGTCACCACAAAACGACGAAGAACTTTACAATCCAGAACTTCCGTCCGAGGACAAGCAGCCTAATGTTCTTCAAGATAAAGGTCAACAGAATCATAGTGACATGAAAGAATTGTCTCCTGCAAAAAAACAAAAATCAAGATCTCGATCTAATTCTCCCAGCCCAGCTAAACATGCAAGGAGACATTCTAAGTCACCTGAGCAAAAGCAAAGTAAGATTCCTTAAATATTTTGCTATCTGGCTGCCATCCAGGCCATTCCAACCGATATTTCATTTGGGTTGGGGGGGGGGGGGGGGTTGAAAAACTAAATCTTGGGATTCTTAACATGTAATTAGATTTTGAGTCCCCGAGTGTAACACCGAGTGTAATTTGCCTCGGGCCTCAAACCTGACAAAGCATGAAGGCACAGCTCCTAATTTCAGGTGGTACCAAAAATGGGACATCACTCCATTAATTTTTTTATATTAACCCATTAAGCAGCAGACAAGACAAGATTTATTTGCTCCTTTCAACTTACAATTATATACACAATGAAATTATTCATATTTGTTAGCATCATTATTATTAGTAAAATATATTTTGTGTTCTTTCATTTTAGGCAGTAAAAAGAGTCGGAGCATAAGTCCAAACCCTACAGTGAGTATTCTTGACAGTTTGTATGCAGACTTGTAGAGGATTATGAAATTAGTAATTGATACTCGCATGAATCCCTTCAGTGTTAACTTTATTTACTTGTTAATCGTAACCTAACTCTAAGTCTTCCTTGACAAGTACAGTATTCTGTTGTGAGATGGGAGAGTAAAATAACAAACTACGGTAACATGCATTAGAGCATGTTCAGGCCCATTACAGCTTAATGAGTTAACTCGCTAGTGACCACATCACACCTCAATGTGCCCTGTTTTATTATTTTACTCAAGACAAGTTTATCTGTCCAGGTCAAATTATCTAGGTGTAAACATGTTTCAAATGTCCCCTTAAAACAAACTCTCTTTTCAGTAAGCCGTCATTGAATAATTTTAAGTACTATTTAAAACATGAAACTTTGTTTCAATAAAAGTATTCCAGTAAAATAAAAATATACAGTATAAGGCTTTGTTATTACAAAATAACAAACTGTATTATTGCCATTATTACAAACATAACAGTCAGACAAGGAATCCAGGTCAACTGTTGATGAATTTGGTCGTCAAATACGACATCCTTCTACATCCAAGGTGAGATTTATTACCATATTTGTAAATTTGACTTTATCTATACAGTAGTTATAACTATCATTTGTATTGTAATGTTGCAAGCATTATAAACATAATGTAAAATATTATCACAGAATAGAGACAAACAGAAGCCCCCAACTTCTTGGTTTTCCCTATGATTTTGGCGTAACCATAATTCGTCATCAAAATGCTGACGCCATGGTCCTAGCCATTAAGTATAGTCAATATATTATCAATATATTTATATATTGATTTTTTTCAATATTGCATTAGCCTATAATACTGTATATATGATTACAAGATAGAAGCAGATATTAAATTTATTTGCAAAGCATTCATGCTCTCCCCATGCAAAATCTGCACTCTCCCTGCCAGACGAAGTTATAAACGGTCCAAATACCAGGCACAGATTTTCTGGGGGGGTGCACCCCCCAGAAATGATTTGCACCCCAGAGGCATTTGGCACCATCCCCAAAAGTTTTTGCACCCCCGCAAATTATATCTATTTTGATTTGATAGTTTCATATTTGATTATTCTTACTTGTAAAATTACCAATATTATGGTCTCAGATCTCGCCATGCAGGCCTAGAAAACAAATTTTGTTAAACTTTTTCCTTGGCCTTTCCGGGCATTGCCACCACGCCCCGGCCAAAGCAAGCAGCAGCACCTCCCAGATATTTATCCACCCCCCGAACGAAAATATGAAAATCCGTCTCTGCCAAATACAACATCCCAAATACAACATCTTTCCAGGACAGTGTACCCCCCTGTTTCCACCCTCGTCCCACCGCCCCCCCCCCTCTCCCACCAATATATTAATTGATCAAATTCTTTGATACTAACCTTTTTTCTGAAGGATTGTATTTTACACTGACATGTAGGATGAAGATCGCGGACGCAGAAGATCACCACCACGTGATCGTAGACGATCAAGAAGTCGCAGTAAGAGTCGCGATCGTGACAGAAACCGAGGTGTGTATTTTGAAACAATTGTGTTTGAAAATCTTATATTTTTTTCTGGGGCTGTTTGTTCAAAGCTGGATTGTCCCTAAACCTTGCTGAAAATTTAACCTGTTGTTTTAGTCATGTATTTCTGCACACCATTTTGTTTTGAAACTTGCTATCATATCCTCAAAGATTTTACCGACTCAATAAAATATAGGTGTAGAAGAAACTCGTTCTGATGCAGACAAGATTTCTAAGGAAATGTTTCCAAATTTATGAGTATAAGCCATTGGGAAGTTTGCTCTGAATTCTAGTTTAACGTGGGCCGTGGGGTCAGCTTATCAGCTTTCAAACAAAAGAAAACCACATAAAATTTCAATAAAAGTTCTCTAATACCACTCGACAGAGAGCCCAGTCTCTCGCTCAAGTTGACTGCACACACCAACTTAGAAACAAATTAATTTATTGGGAATTATTTCAGAAAATAATCCTAATACTTATGGTATCCTATCCTCTCTGGTTGCTCTAAAACACTGTGCTATAACAAAAATAACATACAGCTTTCGTTCCAGGATCTCAAAGGAATGACAGAGATAGAAAACAGGAGATAGGTGGAGACAAATCAAGGAGTCCAACGAAGAGCGGTGATCGGAGTCCTCGTCCTGGCAGAGATAAGAGTCCACGTCCAAATAGGAACAGAAGCCCTCGTCCAAACAAAGACAGGAGCCCTGGGAAAAGTAAGGACAAGAGTCCAAGACGAAAGGATCGAAGTCCTCGAAAAGACAGGAGTCCCAGAAAAGACAAGAGTCCTAGAAAAGACAGGAGTCCTAGAAAAGACAAGAGTCCTAGAAAAGACAAGAGTCCCAGAAAGGACAAGAGTCCTAGAAAAGACAAGAGTCCTAGAAAAGACAAGAGTCCGAGAAAAGACAAGAGTCCTAGAAAAGACAAGAGTCCGAGAAAAGACAGGAGTCCTAGAAAAGACAGGGGTGTGGACCGGAGCCCCCGTCGTGGCGAGCGGAGTCCAAGAAGAGGGGACAGAAGCCCCAGGAGAGGCGACAGAAGCCCAAGGAGAGGTGCCAGAAGCCCAAGAAGGGGTGGGAACCGGAGCCCTCGTCGTGCGGACAGAAGTCCAAGGAGAGGTGGGGACAGAAGTCCAAAGAGAGGAGTGGACAGGAGCCCCCGAAGGCGAAGTCCAATAAGAAGCAGGTCACCAGATCGTGTTCGGGACAGACGAGACAGTGGACATAGTAAAGAGTTTGATGAAAGAAAGAAGATGTATCTAGGAGGACCTGCAAAACCTATACCACCAGGTAGGTTTAGAGAATTGTTATGTTTATTATACACTAGCTAATACCCTAGTTATTGAATGCAGGGCTCAAAATAACGGGAGAACCGGTCAACTTGATTTTAACTCTGTCAAAATCTGTTTTCGACCGGTTATTGATACGCTTACACTATCAGAAACTTGTTTCGATACATCATAGTTTCATGTTTTAATTCAAGACGTCAGCAATCACATTGGAAGGCATGAAAATGTGGCCGGGAAAAAAGACCGGTGAGGTAAAAAAGTGACCGGTCAAGAGGCATTTTTGGCCCGTCATTGTCCCGTTGACCGGCCGTTATTTTGAGCCCTGGAATGAAACGTGTGATTTGGAGGTATAACTTGATATAGTTATGACAGTTTGCCGTCTTCAGATGTTTGTAACAGTTCTGCAATACAGTATATTGTTTCCGATGGAAACCGATTCTCACATGACTGCAATAACAGTAACGATAATTACAATGTATCTAGGGGTTAGGTGTCAATTGGAACGAGAGTCCTGTTCCTTGCTCGGGCAAAGAATGAACGTAGGAAATGGTGTCTGGGTTCGCACACTATGTTCCTATCCTCTGTCACGAATTGTCTAGTTTGTATTTATGTGTCTTTAATTAGTTAGTAACATGTAAATAGTGACAAATTCATTATATTATTAATTATTTTTTATTTTTATTATTGGTTTATTTCCCCCCCCCAAAGAAAGACTGTTAGCTATTTACAAGATATTAATAAAATAAAGTCGGCGAGGAGACGTCAAGAAGCTTAGAGCTTGTGTAAAGAGGCCACCTCATCTCAAAAATTCAAAGTTAAATATTTAATTAATCAGTATAATTTAGGGTTACAGACATATATAATATGAAATTGAAATTAAGTTACAGACACATATAATGAAATTGAAACATAAAAAAGTTAAGAGAGAAAATTTACGAAAATATATAATAGATTTTCCAATAATTTTATATATTGTTACTGAGTATTCGATAAACATGGTCGTAGCATATCAGAGTTAGCTGTTCCTTATTCGTTAAGCAGAAAATTACGAAGTTGCATCTTGAAAGACGAGATTGTGTTCATCACAGTTATATTTGTAGGTAAAGAATTCCAAATATTCGGTCCTGAGTATAAGATGGTGAACTGCTTAATATTAGTTCGACAAGCATGAGATCTATCATATTATAATGTTAGTGCGTACTCTTAAACTGAAGGAAATGTATCACTATAATGATTACAATTGCAAAATTCTTGACAGAAATGGAGTAGAGAGGTCAAGCACCCACTATAGCTTAATATCCTTTAACACGCAATCAGCGATATGAATTCCCTAACTAAATATGGTTAAAAATTTGAGCCTTGTTATTGGTCATTAAAAAAACAACAAAAAACCCCAAAAACAAACAAACAAAAAAACCCAAAAAAATCTAAATCTGCATGGTTACTTACTCACTATAATGCCACCATGGGCTTTGCCACCATCTTAGATTCATAATTCAAGAAATCTATATTTAGAAAGAATTAAATCTGTATTTATAATACGTGATTGATGGATCTCTGTTATTTTTTAAATTTCCAGCGAAAGAGAAAGAGATAATGTCTTCAGAAGAAGTGATGAAAAAGCTCGCACAACGCCAGGAGTCGCTCAAGCACGAAGCGCAAGCAAATGCCGCTACACATAACCTACCAAGTTATCTCAATCCATCTGTCGTCAACCCACAACTTTACGCTAAACAACAAGAGAAGCGAAAGCTGCTGTGGAGCAGCAAGAAGAAAGAAGAGGTATGGGAAAAACAAACGGGGGGCTTAACTAGAGGTGCACCGGAACCCCGATTTTTCACAGTTCCGGTCGAAACTAATAAAAAAAGCATGATCGGAACCGGTGTCACAGTGATACGAGTATCCCCGTGTTTTGTGTATCCCCTACTAATATCACTAGGGATATGTGTATCCCAGCACGGTTATACAGTATAAGCTTTTTATATGTGATTAAGCAATATTGTCACAACTTAGGCTGGATCGATATCGCAAATACCGAATACCGATATACCGCCATCAGAATACCGGTAAATACCGGTATTCCGGTATTTTTAACGAGTTTTTTTTTTAAGCCAAACTGAAGTGCTGATCGTCAAGAAAAATCAAGTTTTGACAAAATATTAATGTGGCACATACTGTTATTAGTGCAAATGTCACAAGATTCGCATTATCAAGCTATGTTAACAATTAACAGCGCTAAGCGGCAATTATTTAATGTCTTTAATAGTAGGCCGTCGATTGGGCGTCGAAGTGTTGAATCATTCAGAAAAATATTCGTTTTGTATATAAATTCAGATAGTGTTTCAGTAAGCTGCTAATAGTTATAAACATAAAAAACGTTGCATTTTTAAAACTAACACATAAACAAGTTAGCAAGCATGTAAAAAAAACTTGAAAAGCCAGAAAAGGTTTTCGCTGCTTCGCAAATGGTAGTACTTCCACCTTCCAAAATCAAAGTTTTCTTTTTTGTCGAAATTTTCCTTTAAAAATTTCGCCATTTTTATATTTCCGATTAAGGCGATTTAATAAACAAGACGTCTGGTATTGCTAAACCAAAGCCGCTAGAACTGTAAGAACAAAATCATGCATCTGTGAGTATTAAGTTTGCTTTCTAAACGTGATTGTAAGCAAGTTTGACTTGAAAGAGCGTTTCATTTCGGTATTAGGCAGCAAAATACCGAAATGTCGGTATATCGGTATTTTTAAATTGTCAATATCGCCAAACCGGTATCTAAACAAATACCGGTATATCGGATATATCCGGTATATCGATCCAGCCTATCACAACTTCTAAATGACTAGCTGTAAAAAATAATTCTACACTATGTTCTACACCAATTTATGCGACGCGAACATGCTATCTTACAACATAAGCACAATCACATTATACACATTTACTGCAGCGTTACTGTAAAAACGTAAATACTTACGGGAAAATAAAGGCACAGATAAATGACTTTCCTCCTGCTCATATTTTGAATATTGCATCATTTCGCTTCTAGTGTTGGAGGTATCCCCACCGGGGGTACTTTTATCCCTAGGGATATTAGTGTGGGGATACACAAGACATGGGGATACTCGTATCACTATGACACCGGAACTCTGTCGTTTTCAGAGAGATAGAATATGTGTGTTTAACATAAATTCACATTAGGAACGTAAATTCACATAAATTCACATTAGGAACATGACGTTTAACGTTTGTCAATCTTTTTATTCTGACATTTGCGAGCTCTCTCCTTGATGACTTGAAGTGTCTGCCTGTCTGGCAGCAGACAAAGTAACATATGACCGACTATGTACGTAGCCTGTAGCCCCATGTAGCTTCTAGGCGATCCTGCTTTGTGGTTGCTAACTATACAATTGAGTTTCTCACTTATTGGTGAGCGTATTTCGCAACAGGCTATTGCCCATTTGATAAGGGATCCGAGGTATCTACGATTTAACGTCTTTATCCGAGAAGACGCGAAAGTCTAACCATTTACTGAGGTCAATGTAAAGGTAGCACTTTCTCCTCAGTTATTTTAACACCTTAGAGGTCCGACCAAGGATTGAACCCGCGTCTCCCAGTTTCAAAAGGCAAGCCAGGAGCGTAAGTTTGGACCAGCCTGCCCCTGGTACTACCGGAATTGGGTGCCCCAAGGCAGGTGCATCCTATATATGAACTACGAACTGCCAGAGTATATTAGAAAGAGTGAGACCTTGCCTATTTTTAAAACCAGATTAAAGACACATCTTTTTAAACAGTATTATGACTAAGTTGTTATTTTAACAAGATTATTAGCAATTTTATAGTATTCTATATAGTTGTTGTTTTAATATTATCAACATACATAACATAAAGTAATTTTATATTCTTAACGAGAAGAGCATATAATTATTTTTTAGTAATTTTATAGTATAGTAATTTTAGTAGTCAATGCATGCACTATGTTCTAACACTTAGTATATATTTTTAACACTTGATGTTAAGCGCTATTGAGCTATGGGAAATGGCGCTATATAAATGAATTATAATAATAATAATAATAATAATATATATCCTTTTGAAGTACCATGAAGCTCTGACAATATGAACATTTTGCTGGTCGTTTAGAAGCGAATTTTAATGGTATCTTGAACTGGAAATATATAGATTATAGCAAAATATACAACAAAAAACCACAACTATGCAGAAATAATACCATGCAGAAATTGTTTTTGACATAAACAGTGAAATGTTTGCCACTGTACTTAATGCACGTACAACCTTAGATGAACAAGGCCCCAGGACAACTCAGTTCAGGGTGCCCCCCTGGAAGCCTGTTTGCCTGGGTGCCCCCGGCTCTTATACCGGGTAGAGCTCATAGGAGTTATGCCACTCAGGCAAGCGTGGTGATCACGACACCACATGTGCATAACACTTTATTGCTACTATTTCTAGACACCCTCGAACAACGCTATGTGGTCAGGAACGAAATTCACTGGCGATCAAGGCGGTGAAATGGGCGCTAAGTTTCGACGATTGATGGGAATCAAGGGCGAGGGACAAGATATCACAGAGGAAGGACCTACGAAGGGTGATCAAATTTTAACGGACCTTGAAAAAGAATTTGAACGATCTAGAGCGTTTCAGTTGTCGCGGGGTGCTGGTGGCAAGAGTGGTATTGGTCTAGGGTATGCTTCGGCAGGATACCAGCCGTAGAGCCGGTTGCTTTTAGTGGAATAGAAATGCCTCGCGCAATAACATATGTATGTGTTCATGGGTTTCAGCAAGCGTTATAAAGGCCCATCTCCGCAGAAAGAAAATTTTGTAAAATGTCATTGGCCGACACAAATTTTCCGTCGGAAAAAAAATTTTGAAGTTGAAAATTTTCAACTTTTAACAATGATATTTTCGGGAAATTATCTGTCCGTGGAAATTTTTCTTGAGTGGAAATGGGCCGTGAGACAGCAAGTGGTGGTCAAACTTACTATAAATTACACATTTAGTTGACACCCTGTAAATGGTTACCTTTTTTACCAAAGTTTGTACCATGATATTTTATACACGCCCAACGTGCCTAAATAAAGTTTTTATATTCTAAATGTTGACTTGTACAAGAGCAATTTTGCGCCCCCCCTGAAATCCCTCGCATGCAGGGGGGGGGGGGCACGACACAAAATTAATGAAACGGGTTAACATTATTTTCTCACACTGTAGGTTGACCACCATCTGTTGCACGGTAGTGCTTAGTGAAATCATGGATAATAAAATACATGGATAGGAAACTAGCTGACGTGACCTAATGTTTTCAATGGGATGATGGCGTTGAAACCTAGTTGCAAACCAAATTCTCAAAAACGGCATGTTTAGCGATAATACAGCTAAACATTTTAGTCAAAGAGCAAATAAATATAACTAGGCCATTCTACGATTAAATCTCTAAGTATTCCCGGTCAATTTTAGCAAATATTTCAAGCACTAAACAGTGAAAAATGCGACGCCAATTTCGTAGCTACAAGTGTAAAAAAATAGGCGAAAAATATTTACCCCGAATACTTTGTCGTGGCTTAGGCATGTTTTTAAAACAATTAGACCAGTTTATGCTTCAATATTACTCTTTTAAAGCGGAAAATATAGCGAACCAACAAAAATGCCGAGAACTTTGGCAATACACGTGACGTCACAGATTGCAACTAGGTTTAGACTGTGACGTCAGGGAGTTTCCTATCCAGTTATTTTACAATCCATGGTGAAACCCTACCTATTCACAATATTTTAATTAAACTCAAAGTTAGGCAACAATAACAACAAGAACAACAACAAAGTGTTGAATTGAAATATTTACTGTAAGAAGCTGCTACATAACTACCGTTCGCAGTAAACGGTTCTTCGCAAAGGCAAAGATTCTTTGGTATAAAATATAAATGCAGTTTTATCTTAATGTGAGATAAATGAAACTTCTCTCAAAGCTTTAAAACGCGATATCGTACCACGTTGAACAAAGAAACTACGAAAGAATTAACCAACATGCACGTAGCATTATAAACCATAGCTGTGCTCTGGTTTAGGTTAGCATTTTTAATTGCTCCTTCTTTATAGTCCAAAACTACAATGCGACATAAATAATGTTATTAAGCCCTGGGCAAACGAAGGTGAGAGTTCCTCCACAAGAGGTAAGAGCCTGGGAACGAGGTTGGCACGAGAGTCGATGACAGTTGCAACTCTTATCCACGTTTCACCGGGTCTTAACTATGCCTATGTTATGGTAGTGTTCTTAGTTCCTGTATTCCATGTGCAAAACTACATTGTTCACTTGCAAGTGGACAGCCATCAGGATGACTGCCGTGAAACCAGCATTGTTTAGTCTTCCAGTATTTCTGGCTTCCAGGTTGCTTCTTATCATCGTTCTTCTTACAATGACTATCCTCTCTCCAGTCACGTATTTCTACTGTACCACCTTGCACTGCAAAATGTATGAAAAATTGCAAATCTGTTCAAATAATTCTACTAGGCTATTTATTTATATAAAAATGCAGTATACCATGGCTATAAAATACGCCTGTTTTCGGCATACCTCACAGCCACGGTTTGTGGATATAAAGTACGCCTGTTTTCGGCATACCTTTTAGTCATGCTTTTGCAGCATTTATACAGTCGCATTTGGGGCCAGGGTGCTCGCTTTCATGAGCGGTACCTCAGCTGTATATGGTGTTATCGGTTGTATATATTAATTTTCATACGTATTACAGCGCACTTCTAACCCTATATAACACGGAAGTCCATAATACTCCATGAAGCTCACCTTTAAAAATCTGATGTGAATTTCTCAAGACTGTTTTTATTCCACCAGCTTCACACCTTAACTGAGCAAGAACATCTTGGTCAAACAGTTTCGACACTTCGCTCAGCTCCATACAACCTGAACACAAAAAGGAAATATATATTCTGTTTTTTAATAGCAATCACGCATTCAACGGTTCTTAGCTTTGCAGCCACAACTATGATTGTTCTGACGCATCCTACTGAAATTCTATTGCTTTATCCTTATTTTAAGTACAGTAGTCAGTATATACTGAGTACAGAGGAGTTTTCACCAAGGGTCTCATCCCAGTCAATTTCGCGTAGCTTTCGAGTACGAGCTTCTTTGCCAGAGTCATAGCAGATTAATCAGGGGTTGGGTGGAGGTATTGACTTTCATTACCTCGGCCATACCAAAACTGGGAATATGTGCTTGTCGTAGATATTGCTCCGCAATGGCGCAGATTCTCCACTCGTACCTTCGCCCATAGACATTCTAGGTAGGTCTGGCACTAGTTGTAAATAGAAATCCATTTCTGGTTTAACATTACTCAATATCTCATTGACAGTATTAGATTTCTATCTCAAATTTGTCCCAGATATTCATTTCCCTGTGCAAGACACATTCACAAAGTTTCAAACAGTTTCACATGAGAATCCGGGTGTGACAAGTGATTGTCTTTGGGATGGGCTAAAAACTGTATAAAATGGACGACCATCCCATTGCCTGCAAACCCGTCTGAGAGTTACAATAGAGAGGTTAAGATTTGATTCCGCTACCTTTCATTGACTTAGTATGCATCTGATTGGTTAATCGGATATAGCAAACGCATCTGATTGGTTAATCGGATATATCAAACGCATCTGATTGGTTGATGGTCCATTAGAGGTAGCGGTTGTGGAATCCAAATCTGAACCTCTCAAATATCAGGCTCTATACAAAGCCCGTTCATTAAACATGCCTCCTTTGTTCCAGTGTTTGTTCGTCTCTCTTCCATCTGCCTCCCGTCCTGGTCTTGAGAGCAATTCAGTCGCTACTTTCTGAACTATCTTATCCAACAGTTTCTTGTCCAGTTTAGTGCAATTCTTCACCGGTTCTGTATTACTACGTGGTACAAACTGTCTTGAAGCTTGCAATTGATCAGATTTTGTGTTGTCATGGTAATGGCATAATGATGCTTGTGATTGGTCAGTATATGTGTTGTCATGGTGATATGACGATAACACATTCGGCGACTGTGGCATCTGGTGCCGATTTTCGGTTGTATACTCATTTAAGTTTCTTGTTATCTCTTTTTGTTTTCCATATCTTGCGTTGTCTAGCATTTTGGAGATTTCGTCTTCAATTGACTTTTGCTTTTCCGCTCGATAATTACGGTTTCTTCCAATCTGACATACCTGTGTTTTAGAATTTGGATAAGAGTATATTTAGTAAAGATTTTGAAAACTAAATGAAAGCCTAGGAGAAACAGAAAACATTGTTTTCCTAACAATATTTCCTGAAGGTGGGCAAACCAGGAAAGATTGTTTCCTGGCCATGTTTCCCGAAGATGGACAAACCAGGAAACACTGTTTCTTAGCCATGTTTCCCGAAGGTGAACAAACAAGGAACCATTGTTTCCTAGCCATGTTTTTCCGGAGGGTGGACAAACCAGGAAACTTATAATTTGTTTCCTAGCATTTAAATATTTTGGAATTCGTACTTTTTTTGTTGATGGTATCCTCAGGACGTCTTCCTTGACATCAAATCCACAAGTTTTGCCAATATTCTCGATATAATCCAAATATGAACGATACTGTCTTTCACTTGAGCTAGCTCTTTGGAACTTGAAATGTAGATAACTGTTAGTCAATTTTAATTCACTTGACCAGCGCTTGTTCGAGATATACACAATTATATGTAAATTTATTTCAAGTCTTGACTCTGAACATGTAGTCCTATCCTAACACATTTTCTCAACTTACCTTGCAATAAAAATCATGGAAACAGCATGGCAAAACAATATATTTACAATTGTACGACGACCTATGGAAACAACACAGTATTTTCAGTTTCATATTAGAGAGGTTCAGCTTTGAAATTAACCAATCAGATGCATATGAACTATCCAATTAACCAATCAGCTGCGTAAGCCAGTGAAAGGTAGTGCCCCTCTATTATCTTGTTGATCAAAGAAACGCGTTTAGCTATCTTTGTTCCATTTTATGCTTTATACATTATCAGAGTAACGAGTAATTTGAAAATCTGGCAACGGGCATAAACATGGTTTGTCTGCTCTATTATAATGTATAGACTAAAAACTCTTCTACCTGGCAGCTATAACAGGCATCCAAGGAGTCAATTCATCTGAATGATTTCCAATTAACCAATCAACATCTGGATAAGTTTGTGAAGATGGGTCCAATGAGCTGACCTTGTACGGATATAGAAAGCACTTTTAAACTGAATCCTAAACAGTTCTGTCTATAAGTCCCATCATTCATCAATCCATCTAAAACCTTCAAACCTATGTATGTGGAGCGTTGCTGTTATCGGGGTTTAATTCCTGCAATATGCAGTTATCTGATAATAATTTCATCTCGGTCGCATGCGAGAAGAGTGTTTCCATTTCGACTCTACAAAACACGCCAAAATGAGCCGTTTGTCTTTTACTTAACCTCGTGGAAACTTGTAGTAAGTTTACAACCGATAGCCAGAGCTATTAGTTAACAGAAAAAACGCTTAAAAACAACATTTTTAAAGAAGTGTGGTATCGCTACCTCCAAAACGGTTTTGTCATCGTAGAATTCCCAAACTTTTCTTGAGCGCAAATCAACTCCTTTTCCCAAATGCTATAAGAAGTTGCCAATATAATTAACAATAATATTGTTCACGAATTAATTATTTGAAAAAAATACTGTCACATTGAGTAGAAAAATGTGCTTACTCCCTCGTTGTTCAAAATGTGAACCAAGAGACCGTTTCCACAACCAAGGTCAACAAATGTTTGCTGTGTAAAATTTTTGCCATCCTTTTCGTCACTCTCCCACAGGAGCTAGAAAAACGTTACGTTACAACATGAGAAACTGCATCAGATGTTCCTGAATAACTGAATGTTTGTATTTCTATCAGGCATTTTCAGGGCCGCCCAGAGGTTGGCGGGGGCCCGGGGCAAATTTTTTTTAGGGGCCCCTATCTAAAAACATTTCCTCCGTCGCCAAAAAATTTTCGGTCAGTGTACCATTTTAGGGGTAAAAAATTTTTTCCCGAGTACAAAATTTTTCCGGACGAGTACGGTGCAATTGCTTTCGAGGGACTTTATCTCATTTTTTAATGCCAAAATTCGGTACTTAGCCCAAGAAAACAGATATCTTGTCCTTTGCACAAAAAAGGCTGGGGCCCAACAAAAATTTTTCAGGGGCCCCCAGCAACTCGGGGCCCGGGGCAATTTGCCCCCTTTGCCCCCCCCTCTGGGCGGCCCTGGGCATTTTAAAAATCGCCGCTTACCAAAAGATAAGTTGCTATCGCGACATCTTCATAAACAAATTTGTGCGGGTCTGTTCTCTCTGGCCACATCTGAAAACGTTTGAAGAAGACTTTTAAAAGATCGATGTTGCTAGAAAATGCACTGCTCCGAATTGATGCGCTTCAAAACTCGTGCAAGCACAGTTGTAGTACGAGGCTTCTCCCCAATACACCCTTTCGATAATTACGTTACAACTACACTGTTTTCAACTTAGGACCACCTTAATTAAATGGAAAGGATTTCAATTTTTTTCTCATGGGCTATGCACAGAGAAGCAGAACATCCTTCTTCAACACGTGCATGAAAAAGAATTCTTTATTTTGACCAATAAATGTGGAGATAAGCTTTAACACGAAAACGAGGCTTCAGGTCATGACCTGAAGCCTCGTTTTCGTGTTAATGCTTATTTCCATATTTATTGATCAAAATGCAAAATTTCGCGCATGGGCTACCATGAGAAAAAACTTGAAACCCTTTCCATTTAAGGTGGTCCTAAGTTGAAAACAGTGTAGTTGTGACGTAATTATCGAAAGGGTGTATTAACTCTTAAGTCCGGATGATACGAGGATGAGATTGCATGAGAGTTGACAGTCACGTGACCTTGGTTAGCTGTTCTTAATGCTTTCCCAACGCTATCATGTATTCTATTGAAGTTAAAACATAGTTGGAACACCCATCAAACATTTATTTTGTTAATCTAGAGCTTGAAATGTCCCCTGTAACAGTGCGTGACTGCTAACTCTCGTGCTCAGACATGGGTCATATGGTAAGAGTCAGGGCTGAGGTCACGTTTGAACTGCTCTCGAGAAAAGGTGAATGAGAACCCCTCTTCCTCGGCCTTCACTTGCAAAATTATTAATCACCTTAACAAAATGTTTATATTTTTGTTTCAACTCTTCGTATTTTTTACTATATTTCTCAACTGAAACCAATCTCAATGATTGACCCAATGAAAACGTTCCGCCGTTTTCAATCATCCATTTGTGGAGTTTTGGAAGTAGGAACGACTTCAACCACTCGACCGTCGGACATGTAATACCATTCCCCTTTGTTCTTTCGTCAGCAACAGAAAAACTTAAACTGAAAAAAAATTATATTTCCATTTGTTCACACGTGAATTCGAACGTGAATTGTCCGAATTTGTGTTTACTGTGTGAACGCAAGTCGTAATCGTCAAAATTTGAGAACAGTTCCGTTCCGTGTCAACGGAACATTCAACGTTGATTTGTTTTTCTTTACCTCTGGGTGTTATTTTGCTTTTCAACAAAGGACACTTGATAAGCATGCTCAATATTACAACGTAATGTACTGGTTGATTCCTCTTCCTCGAATGGTATGAATGTTACACTCTTTTCATTTTCATCTAAACAAGGGGAAAAGTTTTGGGAAGGCGACAGAAACAAACGGATGGAAGTACAGATAAATAGATGGATATTGCATGTAAGTTTACAAGATTTTTACAAGACAAATTAAAAAGCTGTACTACAATATGGTAGTACGTTTACATGCGGTGAATTAATAACAGTGGGATTTGGCCGTACGTATTCACTCTACCTTGAATAATCATTTCCAATACATTACAATATTTACTCGATTCTCGCGGTAACAACGATCTTATTTTTACATCTACCACATCCTTATCTTCCTCCTTAATCTCTCCCTCATAACTCTTCATCAAACCCAACAGACTCTCTCTTAAAACCTCCCCACTTTGCGTCATTGCAAAAATTTGTGGTAGCAAATCCTTGTATTTCGAGGTTAAAAATGACTGTAGGATATACGATCCTATAAGGCGGCGATTTACAACTTGCGGTCGTTCTACCCATATCTTTACAGCATTAAAAAAGGCATCTGCGGTTGAAATTTTTGACAAAATTTCTTCGTGAACGAAAAACCATGTTAACTTTAACTCCTTGTCGGACGCCATCTTGGATTTTTGGGTGCGTTGCCGAACTTCATGTAAGCGACCTATAAAGTGGTCGTACTTTTCCACTTTTGAACCCTTCAATTTCAAAATTCCTTCTTTTGTATCTAAGGATAAACAAGGTCGAAAATAAAAAATATTTTCAATTCGATTCTCATGTATGAAATCTCAATGTTTGAAACTTGTATTTAAAGTTCTCGACTATCTCATTGATAAAATGGCCAATATTTAAATGTTGATAAGAAAAAAGGGTTAATATTTGGTAAATGCAAAAATGAGAAATTTGAAAATGGTTTGTGCGTGCGTTAAACACTCAGGTCGACTAATTAGGGCTGTATGCCTGCGAACAGGCCGTAAAACAAAGATGGCGGCTTTCTACAGAGTGACGATTGTTTTATCCTAGAAGATTAATTTATTTATTTCGCTATTTATTAATATTATTTATTTAAATCATTATGGTAATTATTTACATTAGGAGTCTAAAGAAACCTTCATAGGCTTTTAAGGTAAGGCCCTAGTTTAATGTCCAGTGCAAAGTTTTATATTGTGTCAATCAGTGCCAGTAAAAGTATTTACAAGAATATGAAGATTAATACATTAATATTGCTTTCACTAGTAAGAATAAAGTACATAAGGAGAAAATTTGGAGAGCTATAAAGACATAATCTGTTAATTACATGAATATGAATTAGACTTCCTTGTTTAAAATATAAGTTCACTAGATTGTATTGACAATGTCAATTATGTATTTTTTTTAAAGATTGGTAGTGATGTTATTTTTGTCAAGCTAACATCAAGATTATTCTGAACATCCACTCCTTTCACTGAGAGTGAGTGCTTAGTATAATTAGTTCAATGGCAATCCATATGAAGTTTCGACGAGTTTCGGGTACTGTATTACTATTGGTGAATTTGGCTATTTGCTATAAAAAAATCCGTAAATGAATGTGGCAAGTTTTGTAAATGATGATATCGGAGTATGATGGTATTGCCCGAAGTAACATCTTAAAGCCTTTTCGTGAGTAACCCATGGTTACTCACGAAAAGGCTTTAAGATGTTATTTCGAAAATGGCATTTGCAGCATTCTGAGAACACATTTTGTAAAAAACTAGGTTTTCAAAACACTGTTTTAATTAATGGTATTAAATTACAATGTTTTAATTAATGGTACTATTATATAAGTGTGATTTGTGTTATTTGGTACAAGATTTTTACAGTTTATCAAAATTATAGGAGGGGCTCAGCCTCCCCCCCCCCCCCCCAGTGTCTGCCACTGGCAGTTGACTGACAGTTGATTGCAGTAGAGAAGAGACTGCAATCTGAACATTCTTTGTCATATCATCAAATATAAACAAAGTGATTAGCTAGCAGCTGGGTATTTATTATAGTGACTATAGTTAAATATAAAAAACTTTTGTTTGCGCTAGCTTTCACCGAGCTTGCCGTTAGAGTGTATGGTATAGGCACTGTGTGCGGAAAGTGAACTGACTTGTGAACTTGACTTAGCATTTTTTCTTAGTCACTATATAGCCGGCGGCAGTTTACTAAATAGCTGGTTGCCAGCTGTATAGTCACTTCGAAATTTAAATGTTTACTCAATAATTGTGAATGAAATTTTTTCATAGCAACCATGGATTTCCTTTGCGCAGATACATGTACGCCTAGCGTACCTATTTTTAAAACTAGTAATGTTTTATTCAAACTGGTAAATATTTTCAAAGCCCCCCCTTCTCTCGTCTCTCTGTATTTTTCAAAGCCCCCCTTTCAAGTTTTAAAAAATTTAAAGCCCCCCCCCCAGTTTCTCCTCAATCCCCCCCTGTACAATAAATAATGAGGGGTCCCTAAAGCCCGTTCTTCACTAGGCGAATTTATTCGCGCGAACAGATAAAAAGTAGGAAGCGATCCTACTTTTTCGCCGACCAATCACGTTGTCGGATTTCGGTTTTCGCTTGGCGTCGCGCGAACAAATTCGCGTAGTGGAGAACGGGCTTTGTTTGCTGTGATTTTCGGCTTTAATAACACCTCTCGAGTCGCATACGGGACTTTGGGGGCGGGTTTTGGCGGGAAAATCTGTAATGTTTGGAGAAGACAAGATGGCGCTGGACTCTGGTTGCCTCGTGTTATATTAAAGGGCATTTTTGTTTACAAATACCCGCTTATTTTACGTTTTAGCGACTCGTTAGTCTTGAAAATTATAACTCAATGGACAGGGAAAACGATTCTGTATTAAGGAGAAAAAGATGTGCAGTTATTGTGATGTTATTTGTTGTGAAAGACGGCCCGAAATTTCGCTACTTCGCTTTACTGGTTTATAAAACATTTAAAAGCAACAGCAATTGAACTATATCACAAAGGAACCGATGTATACAAGCCAATCAAGTTCTTCAGTTTAAAGGTCAGTTTACTTTTTAATAATTAGTTCATTTAGTTGTATATTAATACGAAATACTCCAGGGTGCATTCCGTGTAAACCTCACGCCGAAGATAATCTGAGGTAGTGTTACCGTGCGCCAAGTGAGGTCAACTTATGCGCCGGCTGATCGCGGGCACCATGATTTTTCATTAATAGTTAGTTGCTTAAAATTTAAACTTGCTAAAAAGGCGTGTAACGCACTGATGAATAAAATGTTTTGCTGATGAGCAATGATGAGTGTTGTTACTGTTGTATCACAAGTTATAACCACCATTTAGCTACTATTACAACCAGAAACACAAATTTCTGGAGTCCCTAAATAATTATAGAGGCCAATCACCAGGCGATTATTAATACTCAAAGTCTCGCTTAAACATTTGATGCTGCGCCAACCACCAAAACTAAAAACTTGTGCGCCAACCTCGACGTGATTGTGCGCCAGCAATTCAAAACTCACGCCGAAGATCTTCCACAAAACGTGCATGGAATGCACTCTGGGAAATACTGGAACAGTACGCTGTACGCCAAGTTTGATTTGCTATATTGAAATTTGTACTGTAGTCGGAATAAGATAAGGTATGGATAAACAGAGCCCAACCCCTTCTCTAACCCTAACCAATAAATGTGTAATGAACTATTTGAGAGTTAAAAAGGTTGGGGGGGAATTTTAAAATATTTTAATGTACATATCAACGGCACAGAATAAGGCACACAGAAGGGCCACTTACGTCCGGAGCTTAAATTGAAGTTTCTGTCACCCTGGCCGCCATCTTCCTAGCCAGTCGATTACATTTTCTGGCCAATAAACGCGCTGTATTGGCTGGCCGCCATCTTCCTGGCCAGTCAATTGCATATTTTTGCATAGAAAAATGGTGACACGTTGCACCACTGAGCGGCCCTTCTGGTACTGATCTTTATTCTGTGTCAACGGCCTGCCCGGCACGTTTTACGCAATAGTTATTGCAGTAATACTTTCACACACCCCGGTATTTTTTTTTCGAATTTTAACAAATTAAGAATTTTTAGTGTTCTGGTGTTCCGTGTTCTGGAATGATGCTGTTCCGGTGTTCCGTTGTTCCTGGTTTTACTAATAGCCAGAATTTGATACTTCTCACACACTGCTGGGAGCGTCAAGCGTTGCGGAAGCAACAACAACATGTGCTGTCTTAACCTGCACCACCCGAACACACCCGATTCACAATCGGGCTCCCAGCCTTGTGTGAGAAAACATTTTCTGCTTCTTTCGTACCTCAGCCAGCAGAAAATAACACTTTTGTGTGCGTAAAAATTTGATATTTTTTGTGAGCGTGAAATTTGATACTTTTTGTGGCGTGAAATTGATATTTTTGTGAGCGTGAAATTTGATACTTTTTGTGGCGTGAAATTTGATACTTTTTGTGGCGTGAAATTTGATATTTTTTGTGTGCGTGAAAATTTGATATTTTGATCACGGATTTTAATATTTAATGCGTGCATTTATATATTTGTTACAGATTTTTTTACATAAATTGTCCGTGACTTTGGTATAACGTTTGACGACTTGATATTATTTGGAACGTTTCATATTTATATTGCGAGTTTTGGTATTTTAATATTGGCTTTGATATTATATCTACAACTTTCATAATATTGTCCGTAACGGAACGCCATATCCAAATGTATTGATTTTCGTTTTCAATAACTTTAAAATGCAATAAGGCCAATAACGTCTATAACGACTATAACGCCTATAACGCCAATAACGTTTATAATGCCTATAACGTTTATAATGCCTATAATGCCTATAACGCCAATAACGTCTATAACGTCAATAACGCCAATAACGACTATAACGTCTATAACAGAATATCATGTATAAGACGTCATTGCTATCTATTATAAATGACGTAATATGTACATTTCGTGCACGTAACATAACGATATAACCGATACTATGCTATCGAGTTTGTGCGTGTGTTAAACACTCAGGTCGACTAATTAGGGCTGTATGCCTGTGAACAGGCCGTAAAACAAAGATGGCGGCTTTCTACAGAGTGACGATTGTTTTATCCTAGAAGATTAATTTATTTATTTCGCCCAATCATTATGGTAATTATTTACATAAAAGTATTAAAGCTACAACTTTAAATGGGGTAGGAGTCTAAAGAAACCTTCATAGGCTTTTAAGGTAAGGCCCTAGTTTAATGTCCAGTGCAAACTGCAAAGTTTTATATTGTGTCAATCAGTGCCAGTAAAAGTATTTACAAGAATATGAAGATTAATACAATTAATATTGCTTTCACTAGTAAGAATAAAGTACATAAGGAGAAAATTTGGAGAGCTATAAAGACATAATCTGTTAATTACATGAATATGAATTAGACTTCCTTGTTTAATTAAAATATAAGTTCACTAGATTGTATTGACAATGTCAATTATGTATTTTTTTTAAAGATTGGTAGTGATGTTATTTTTGTCAAGCTAACATCAAGATTATTCTGAACATCCACTCCTTTCACTGAGAGTGAGTGCTTAGTATAATTAGTTCAATGGCAATGCATATGAAGTTTCGACGAGTTTCGGGTACTGTATTACTATTGGTGAATTTGGCTATTTGCTATAAAAAAATCCGTAAATGAATGTGGCAAGTTTTGTAAATGATGGTATCGGAACATGAATAAGCTTATCATTGCCCGAAGTAACATCTTAAAGCCTTTTCGTGAGTAACCATGCATTGCATGGTTACTCACGAAATGGCTTTAAGATGTTACTTCGAAAATGGCATTTGCAGCATTCTGAGAACACATTTTGTAAAAAACTAGGTTTTCAAAACACTGTTTTAATTAATGGTATTAAATTACAATGTTTTAATTAATGGTACTATTATATAAGTGTTATTTGGTACAAGATTTTTACAGTTTATCAAAATTATAGGAGGGGCTCGGCCTCCCCCCCCTGCCCCCCCCCCCAGTGTTTGCCACTGGCAGTTGACTGACAGTTGATTGCAGTAGAGAAGAGACTGCAATCTGAACATTCTTTGTCATATCATCAAATATAAACAAAGTGACTAGCTGGCAGCTGGGTATTTATTATAGTGACTATAGTTAAATATAAAAAACTTTTGTTTGCGCTAGCTTTCACCGAGCTTGCCGTTAGAGTGTATGGTATAGGCACTGTGTGCGGAAAGTGAACTGACTTGTGAACTTGACTTAGCATTTTTTCTTAGTCACTATATAGCCGGCGGCAGTTTACTAAATAGCTGGTTGCCAGCTGTATAGTCACTTCGAAATTTAAATGTTTACTCAATAATTGTGAATGAAATTTTTTCATAGCAACCATGGATTTCCTTTGCGCAGATACATGTACGCCTAGCGTACCTATTTTTAAAACTAGTAATGTTTTATTCAAACTGGTAAATATTTTCAAAGCCCCCCTTCTTTCGTCTCTCTGTATTTTTTCAAAGCCCCCCCTTTCAGGTTTTAAAAAATTTAAAGGCCCCCCCCAGTTTCTCCTCAATCCCCCCCTGTACAATAAATAATGAGGGGTCCCTAAAGCCCGTTCTCCACTAGGCGAATTTATTCGCGCGAACAGATAAAAAGTAGGAAGCGATCCTACTTTTTCGCCGCGAATTTTTTCGCCGACCAATCACGTTGCCGGATTTCGGTTTTCGCTTCGCGTCGCGCGAACAAATTCGCCTAGTGGAGAACGGGCTTAAGGTGTGCTTTTAAAGGATGCAATGTTTGCTGTGATTTTCGGCTTTAATAACACCTCTCGCGAGTCCAGTGGTCAGCTCTCGAGTCGCATCACATACGGGACTTTGGGGGCGGGTTTTGGCGGGAAAATCTGTAATGTTTGGAGAAGACAAGATGGCGCTGGTTACCTCGTGTTATATCAAAGGGCATTTTTTTTACAAATACCCGCTTATTTTACGTTTTAGCGACTCGTTAGTCTTGAAAATTATAACTCAATGGACAGGGAAAACGATTCTGTATTAAGGAGAAAAAGATGTGCAGTTATTGTGATGTTATTTGTTGTGAAAGACGGCCCGAAATTTCGCTACTTCGCTTTACTGGTTTATAAAACATTTAAAAGCAACAGCAATTGCACTATATCACAAAGGAACCGATGTATACAAGCCAATCAAGTTCTTCAGTTTAAAGGTCAGTTTACTTTTTAATAATTAGTTCATTTAGTTGTATATTAATACGAAGTACTGGAACAGTACGTACGCCGAGTTTGATTTGCTATATTGAAATTTGTACTGTAGTCGGAATAAGATAAGGTATGGATAAACAGAGCCCAACCCCTTCTCTAACCCTAACCAATAAATGTGTAATGAACTATTTGAGAGTTAAAAAGGTTGGGGGGAAATTTTAAAATATTTTAATGCACATATGACATATCAACGGCCTGCCCGGGGGTACATGCACCCCGGGACAATCGGAGGGAAACGAGGGGGAATTTGGTATTTTATCCGTGTATTCTGCCCGGGGAAATTACAAACTTCGCAATAATAGGACGACAGGGGGAGGGGAAGTAGGGGACTTTGACGTGACAATTTGAATTTTATAAATGAACTGCGCAATTGATGCGAACTCAAAATCGCAGGCTCACGGAGAAAAGTATCGATCGCAAACTTATTATATTTTGTAGTGGTGTTGCTAAAATTTGAATAAATAAATACAGAAAACATGAGTGCCATTGTGATACCCCAGTTTGTATGATAATTTTTAGTTGTTTGTATGCTATTTATATTATGAACAACTTTATTCTAAGCCCCAGGGGGAGGGCAGTTTGACTTACACATTTCCCGGGGGAGGGAAGGGGAATTAATGCATTAGAATCATGTTTTTTCAAAGTCCTGGGGGTGTACCCCAGGGCAGGCCGTTGATATGTGCATAAGAAAAATTTCTACTGTCGGAAACTGTCGTAATTTAGAATTAGTATTTTTTTTCACGCGTGGGATGCGCGAGTCCAAACTTTAAACACTTCGGAAAGTTCCGGATTATACCGGTGGTTGTTGTTTTTTCGAGAAGAGAACTTAAAAACATGTGGCTGTAAAATTTTGTAATAGATATTATACTGTGATTTGTTGTGATTTATTTTGGGAGATACTTGGAGGTAATCCCCAACACTACTGGCCAGGGTGCATTCCATGTAAACTGTACGCCGGACATACGCCAACATATACGATCCTTTACGCCAATACATCGAAGATTTTCAGTTTGGGGGGCTTAAATCCATGTTTTGAA